TCCTCCAAAGAACGGCAACAACAGCCATAACCACTGACGGTTGATGGATCAACCCCAACAGACGCTTGAGAAATAAAGGAAAAGTATGCCGAGGCAAACCCTCCCCCAAATATTCCAACCCAGAATAGTCCCAAAGAGCTCGCGCCACCGGACAGTAAAGGAACAAATGTTCCATTGTCTCCGGGCCATCCCAACAAACGGGACACCTAGACAGCACCTGGACATTTTTCTCAACAAGCGCATGCTCCCCTTCTTAAACTCGCTCCATATATAACAATTCCATACGCACGGAGAAAGAAAGAACCCAAACTTCTCGCTTTCCTGTTGCCCATGCTCTCTCTACATGAACGCCAACTCTCAGACCCGAATTTGGGAACAACATCCATCCATTCATCCTCATCAAGTTTAGCCTTCATTTGCTTCACTGGCCTATCCCTTTGATGCCGGCTTTTCCTTGATAGTCGTCTCCTCTTCTTCTTTCATACAAAATAACATCGAAATTTAACTTTTAAATTCATAAAAAATAGATTAAAAAAAATAATAAATTTACTAATTAAATTCACTAAAACAACATCATTTTACTTAGAGGTTGTAAATTGATCATGTCAGTCATACCGGTTATGTTTACACCGGTTTCATGACTAGGACTGGTAGAACAAGGTTTAACCAGCCGACATTCCACTGACACGACGGACATCCTTTTTACTTCATGCCTATTGAAATTTGAAAATGGGACAGCAAGGGGTGGGCATCGGTCCAGTCCGGTCTGGATCGGGCCAACTCAGGAGAATCGCGGTCCAATAGCGATAAATATTTTATGACCAAGGAGCAGACCAATAGGGTATTCGGTTCGCTTTGGTACGCTTTGATCCAGTCAAAATGTCAATTCAATATATTTTTCTTAAGTATTTATAAAATTCATGGGACCAAGGACCGAACCATATTATATTTGATTTGGTGTGGTCGGAAACAAATATCAGTTTAATCCGGTGTGGTTCGGTATGGACCGACTCATTGCCCACCCTACCAGCAAGTACTATAAAAGAAAATAGCCATTAGTTTTCCCTCCTGACATGGCCCAGCAGCAAAGCGCGTATAATGTCTAGTTAGCCTATAAAAGTCAACAAATACTCTCTTTCAAACAATCAATGATATTAGGCTCCAATAATATGCCACATTAAACAAAACAACCAACCACCATCTGTTCTTCCTGAAAGCAAGAACCCAGTAGATTCCATCTTGAACAGCCACCACAAACAAACAAATGGCCAGTACTTGTGCATTTACAATCCTTTCTCAACTCTCTATAGGTCTAGAAACATGGACGTCATAATGATCAAGAACAAAGAAGAAACCCAGCAAAGAGTACAACATTCAATCCAATTATTACCAACAAGTTACACATTTTCAGAAAGGTTGCTCCAAATCTCCCCTGTCTAATTACGGTTAGACTAACACACAAAACAGGGCAATGGTCTAGTTGAATCAAATCCATAAAAGGATCAAATCAGTGTAGTATTTTTCTCAAAGATTGAAACCTCCAAAGAAAGAGGGGAAACCTCAGTCACTTACATTTCCACTGCACCGGAGTCGAATCAATAAATCCACAAAACTACAAAATAGAGAAGTTAAAGAGTCAAACCAGAGATAGACTGAGCTAAAGAGAGGAAGAATTTCAATAACCCTAGAAATGGTGTTATGTATCTTTCATTCTCTCCATGTCCGAGCGAGTGATGGATCTGGAAAGACAAACTCCAATAAGCCAAGAGATTAGGTTATGCATCTTCCATGTGAAGGTCAAAATAATAAAGTAGCCCAATTTTAGGTAAATGAATGAGAATCAATCACAAAAACCAATCAGACAAAAACCAGAAAGACACAATGAACAATCAGAGAGTAGAGTCAGAGATTGGGATGCAAAGCCTCTAATTTATGAAATCAGAACCATTTTATGAAAAGGAGGAGTGGTTCTGTTGGTTCGGTTACCGATCACTTATTTTGCTCTAATCTTGCAGAGACACTTGCTTAATGGTTATCTGGTTAACCAACAAAATAATCGATAACCAACTATATGGTTAACTGAATAATATAAACAGTGCTGCTATTGATTTGCACAAATTGCTTAACCCACTAAATGTTTATGGTCATAACCGAATTGACTAACAATCATAATGTTTAGGGTTTGTATTTTGATTTAGAAATAAATCATGCTTAATTATGGTACTTAGTTTATTACCGTTATTAATTATAGATTTTTTAAAATAAATTATAGTAAGTCTTTACAGTTTAAATTTATAGATAAATTATGTATGCTTATGATAATTAGTTCAGTAAGATTATCATAGGATTGGACATATATAATCTTAGACATGTGGATGTTAATTAGTTAGTAAATATTTTAATAGATTTGAATTAGTAGAACATGTAACTATTAATATTGACATATTATAATATAATCGTAAATAAGGAAAATATTTGAAATGTTCTATTCGAGTTTCGATTTCGCAAGTATACTTTGTTACTGACATACACTCTACACCTTTTGATCTACCTGAGCTACGTAAAAACGAAAATGGTGCATATGATCCACTTAAAATAAAAGGTATGTACTCATTCAATATCGACAATAAAATTTCCACTAAATCATAGATAATTTTTAAATAAAATTCATTTCAACTAGGTAATGAGAGAGTGTGTAATAGTGTTTTCCAACACTTGTAGTGATTTCAAAATAATAGTGCTTTTGATGATTTATGGTATTCATTTTATGATTTCCAGTACTGATTTAAAAGTTAGTAATGATTTTCTGGTTATTAGTAGTAATTTAGCACACTTGTAGTTGTGACTTTAGGACGACATTCGACTTCCGGTGCATTTGTAGTATTTTTATTTAATAATTTGTATTAGTGATTTGTTGTTTTATCATATTGATTTTATGATTAATAGTAATTGAGCAATTTTATGATTATTAGTAGTGATATTATGTAGGTTTTTTTCTAATAGTGGTTACTTATTTTCTATAAACTGCTACTCATTACTAACAGCTATATATGAAACTGCAAAACATAAAAAATAGCCACTAATATAACTTCTACTATTATAGTATCATCACTACTGCAAAATATCCATCACAAATGACATTACTATAACAAAAAACAATTTATATCAATCAGGGGGAAGAGAGAAGTGGAGGAAAGGAGTGAGAGACGTGCGGGGTAGAGGGAGAGAGAGGCGAAGTAGGGTAAAGGAGAATAGAATATGTTGATTTTAATAAAATTTTAAATTAAGTTGATACTCGGGATGAGCAGTGGATACATGGTTTTATGCAAATTTGGATGGGTTTGAAAATTTTCAACATATATTCAATATGATCACAAAATTTCAATAATTTTAAACTTCAAATGAAAGAAATTTTCAAACTAAACAACGCTTAATCCATAAATTAGGTGAATCACTTATTTTACAATATTTGTATTGGTAATTATCCACAAGTTATAAAATATTCAACGAATAAATATGATCTAAGCCTGATAATAACTAAGGTTCAAGAAGGCACTAGACATAAGGCAAACGTTTTGGTCTTGTCTAGCGCCTCATTCGCTTAGGCGTTGTGAGCGTAACTAGCTTTTTAACTTATAATTGCAAATTATAATTCCAAATTGATGGAAAAAATGAAGGACGAACTGGTGATAGTTTGAGATGGTTTCATACTGGAGGAGACAACTATCTTTTTTCTGTCATTTGTCTACTAGTTATGCTTAAGCATACCTCCAAATGGCTAAGCACACATCACAACACAATTCTTTTATCAAAATAGAAAGGAATTTTTGTGATTTTAAGGCATTCATCTACAGTAAAGCTATACGTTTGAGCTTCGATGGTTTGAGGTTAAAATGTTTGGGTGGGTCGTGGGTCAACCACAGTCCATCCGCACCCTGCCGATCTTTTGTGGGTCGCTTATTTTACAACCCACACCCATCAATAGGAACCACCCACATAGACCTGGCAATCAGGTCAAGTTGGGTAATTTCGGCCTGGGAACTTCGATTACGGGTGGGTCATGTTTGATTGGCTTATTTCTGGTTAAATATTGACCCAACCCATTCGGTTTCGGGTCGGGTTACAGTCATTTCAGGTTATGAGCGTTCTCAGAAACAATATCAAGCATGCTTCATATTTTCTTAAAGAACACAAATTTTCACATATGCATGACAATAGTTTACCTAACACATGTCAATTAACATATTCTCAAATCCTCCCATGCTAATGAAATGAAATATAAATTGCACAAATCGTCGAAAAACAATCACAAGAGTATTTCTACTACAAGAAACACATGATATTTGATTATCCTTAAACTCCAAACATGCATGTCATTCAAATCCTGTGATATTTTTAAACATCTCACCAAATTATGAGTAATTTTATCATATTTTGAGAGTAATATATTAACTAGAACGGGTCGAACGGGTCGACCCGCTAACCCACCCAACCCGACCCAAAAAATCACGGGTTATCGGGTTCGGGTCATTCAGATTTCGGGTTACAAAAATTTCTAGTTTTCATGTGGTTTCGGGTCGGGTCAACGGGTCGGGTTGTAATTTGCCAGGTCTACACTCACATTATAATGAGTATGTCGATTTGGGTGGATTTGTGGGTTCAACCACCCATTGCTCAGCCCTACTTGATATTAAAAAAATCCATAAACTATAATTAGTCAAAATCTACCATTAGATTTTGAAATAAAAAAAGGAAGGATGATGATTAATGGGGTTAGCATCCGATCCATTTTGGGAATGGTGGGCTAGCTAGCTGATCAACATTAATTATATTTACTCCCTACGTCTATCATACTTTCCAAGATTCGGTGCTCCAACAAGTAAATTACTAGTTAACACTATGATCGCTCTATAAGAAGAGCCCTTCCATCCACCCATAAATCACATTCACACACCCATCCTCCAATCTCGATAGTAAATCAGTACTAAGCAATCGACGACATGGCTCAACTACAGAAGCTGGAGACGAAGGTTGCAATGAAATCACCAGAGAAGATCGCAGCTTTCTTCAGGGACAGCTTCACCTCCTTCCCTCAATTGGTCCCTGACGTTGTCAAGACTGCTGAGGTCATGGGCGGCGGTCACAAGGCAGCAGGGCCTGGCTCCGTATTGCTTCTCCAATATTCCTTCCGTAAGACTACTACTGTCTTTTTATTCGTTTTGATTGCATCCTTGGATGAACATCAACATATATTGAAAATCCTACATTTTCTGTACATGGAATTCAGCTGGGACCCCCTTAATGAGCGTGAAGCTCAAGTGGGAAGAAGAAGCCATGGAAGAAGCAGGAGAAGGGAAGAAGTCGTGCTTGTTCACGGTGATAGAAGGAGAGTTACTGGAGATGTACAAGAGTTACAGTCTGAAGATTGAGATGGACAAATGAGTACGAACTGGCGAACCCTAATGTTCCTCCACCTTATGACTATATCGAAGCATGCAAGCTGCTTGCTAAAGCCTGCGATAAATACTGCTGAAGGTTTTCAATGCATAAATAACAATTCTACTGTACGATACTACAGTGTTATAGTACCCATGACGATCAGCTCACTCGTGAAATTGGTTTCAAGGGATTAAATAAGAGACCACGAGGGCAACGGGCTGCGTTGTCCTCTGGCATTTTAAGTTGTGTTCCTCTGGCATATTAAGTTGTGTTTGACTGTCTGAGATTTTTTTTTTCAAAAGATATCATAAATTGATCAAAAAATAGGCAATTACACCATGGAAACCAGCCAGGACTGGAAATAAAAAAAGCGACTCATAGTCGGGTACAAAGAAAGGGCTTTCCTAGCTACCATATGAGCTACCCTATTGTTCTCACGTCCTACAAAACGCACACTAAAATCAGGGTGAGCACGCAAATGGTGGGCAATCTCTTCCAGAACAGCACCCAACCGGCTATCTCTTATGTCGGTTTGATTAATTTTGTCAATAATCACCTTCATATCGCCCTCAAAACGGACCTCCGACAAGCCCAGCTCCCTACACCAAATAATAGCTTCTCTGAGCACGAGCAATTCCACCACCATAGTATCATCCATTTGAGAAAACTGAACCCCTCTAGCCAGAAGGAGTGTCCGCGCTGGGTCCAAAAGAACCATCCCACCAGCCGAATGCTATCCACCCTTCGTAGCTCTGTCCAACATGCAAACTATCTGGGAATCACCCATTTGCGCTGGAGATTGCAACACCGGGTTCAGCACCCTAGGAACTTGGTCCGCAGGAAGACCCACCCATTCCTCATACTGTTGGTTAAACTGGCGCATGAGAGCCGGTATCCCAAATTGTTTGCCTTTAAAGACTCACTACAGGAAAAAGTTCTTTTAATCATGGGAAATCCTGTGCTTAAAAGCATGTTTCCCGTGATTAATAACCAGTTTTCCTGTAGTACTACCCAATTCCGGGATCGCCAGATCCTCCAAAGGATGGCAAAAACAGCCATAACCATTGACGGTTGATGAATCAGTGTCAACAGACGTTTGAGAAACAAATGAAAAGTGTGCCGAGGCAAACCCTCCCCCAAGTAATCCAGCCCTGAATAGTCCCATAGAGCCCGTGCCACCGGACAAGAAAGGAAAAAGCGCTCCATCGTCTCTGGGCCATCCCAACAGACTGGACACCGAGGTAGCACCTGGACCTTTTTCTCAATAAGCGCCTCTGTAGTCGGAAGAGCTCGATTAAGAATTTGCCAAACAAAAACTTTCAACTTTGGTGGGATCTTCGCCTCCCATACTCTAATCCAACTCGGCTTATCCATCCAGCTAACCGAGGACCGCCACCCACCCCTCCTCCTGTCCAAGTCAACAGCCAAATGATAAGCTGACTACACCGAGAACACCCCATCAGCCGCAAAATTCCAGATAAGCTTATCAGGCACATCCCATCTCGGAAGAGGAATAGCTTTAATAGCCCTACAGGTGGGCGAGTCAAACCATTGACTGAGCTTCTCATCAGACCACCTCCCCCCCCCCCCTCACAAATAACCTCAGTCACCAAAGGATCACCCCCCCCCCCCTCAGGCAAGACCCTCGGATTATAGCATGGGGGATCTAATTGGTACCTAGGAATCCAGTTAGAATGAAGAAGGGAGACCGATTGGCCATTCCCAACCTGGTAACGTAAACCCATCTCCAATAAATGACGCCCATGAAGGATACTCTGCCACCCCCAAGAGGGACGAGACCTAGCTGTGGCAGTCAAGAAAGACACTTGAGGGAAATACTTGCCTTTATAAACCTGAGCAATAAGTGATTGAGGTTCATTAAAAATACGCCAGCCTAACTTAGCCAAAAGAGCTTGGTTGAAATGTTCAAATTGGCGAAATCCCATCCCCCCTTCATGCTTACTCCTGCACATGTTACGCCAGGACACCCATCTAATCTTGGGATGACCCTCCTAAGCACCCCACCAAAAGCGGGCCACATGTCTATCCAAAAGACGAGAAAGAGCTAGGGGGAGACGGAAACAGGACATCACATGAAGAGGAAGAGCCAACGCTATGGATTTAATCAAAGTTTCCTTCGCAGCCCACGATAGCGTCCTTTGCTTCCACCCCTGTAGACGCTCTAGGAGTTTTTCCTCCAAATATCTGAATGTCGCCATCTTTGAGCGAGCAATTAGCGTGGGAAGTCCCAGATATTTATCGTGTACCCCCACAGCACCAACCCCTAGAATCATGGCCAAGAACTCATGATTAGCCGCGGAGATATTCATACTAAAGCACACGGCCGATTTCTCCAAATTAACGCGTTGACCACTCAGCTCCTCATATTCATTAAACACCTCAATTAAATTCTCGCACTCCTGAAGAGAACCTCGCAAGAACAAGTAAGAATCATCCGCGAAGAACAGGTGCGAAACTCTCGGAGCACGAGGAGCTACTTTCACCCCTCTAATTTTTTCTCCGTAATCGCCTTACGGTGGAGAGCTGCAAACCCCTCCGTGCAGAGCACAAACAAGAGCGGAGAGAGCGGATCCCCTTGGCAAAGGCCCCTAGAGGCAGTGAAATAACCCGAGGGTGTACCATTCATCTGAACCAAGAAAGAGGAGGAGCGAAGACACTCATGTATCCACCATTGCCAGACTGAACTAAAACCCATCTTATCCAAAACTGCAAGAAGAAATGGCCATTCAACTCTATCATAGGCCTTTTCCATGTCAACCTTCAGAGCCATGTACCCCTTCTTTCCTTGCGTTTTTATTTTTAGATAATGCATTAGTTCATGTCCTATAAGGATGTTATCAATAATCTGCCGTTCCCTGATAAAACTACTTTGACCTTCCGAAACGATATGAGGAATCATGCTAGCTATCCGTTCAGCCATAATTTTAGTAACCACCTTGTATACAAACTGGCAGAGGCTAATCGGGCGCAATTGTCTAATTGTTTCCACCGAGTCCACTTTAGGGATCAAAGTGACCCAGGTATGGTTAAAACTCCGCAGCATCCGACTCGAGGTAAAGAAGGAAATCACTGCTTCAACCACCGCCCACAATATCCCAGAAATCTTTAAAGAACTTCCTTGTGAAGCCATCCGAACCCGGGGCCTGCTTCGATCCCATAGAAAATACCGTACTCCGCACCTCACTAGGCAAAACCTCTGCCGTCAATTGTGCATTCATTTGCGGAGTAACACTTTGGGCAATTGGCAGAGCCGCCACCCTCTGACTCATATTAGGAACCTCAGTTTCCGAAGTAAACAGGGTTTGGTATCAATCTCAGCTTGAAGCGTCTTAATATTGCGCAGGGAATTAGTTGTGCCCGCCCTGCTCCAATCATAGAGCAGGTGACGAAGCCTTTTCAAGCGCTCCCACAGTCTAAACATAGGGGTCCCTTGGATCTCCTCCTTCCAAACATACTGGACCATAGCCCTCACTTCAGGATTATCCGCCCAGCGAGCATCAAAACGGAAAAGAGGCCGACTACTACAGGCATACGGTTTATCGGCGAGCAGCAGGGGTCGATGATCTGACCCCTAGTCCGTAAAGTGCTTGACCAGAGTCTCCGGATAGGCATCAATCCAGGATGGGGAGCAAAGAGCCCTATCTAGACGTTCTCGAATACACGCTTCACTCATACGTTTATTAGTCCAATTGAATTGGTACCCTTCGAAGCCCGGATCATGGAGGCCCAATTCATGAACAAAATTTTGGAGATTGATGGCTTGGGCACCATTCCAAGCCCGCCCCCCATCTTTTTCACCCGCGTGAAGAATAGTGTTGAAATCACCTATGATTACATAGGGGTGAGTAATATGCGCACAAACTTCTTGTAGCTGAGCCAACTGGGAAGCTCTAAGAGCAACATTACAGCTTAAATAAACAAAAATCACCACATAAGAAAGATCCCCTTCATTAATTTGCGAACAAATACAGAAATTGTAATGGAAAAACACCGAAGCGTCCACCCCGGGGGACCAAGCAAAAACTAAACCTCCTGATGCATTGACTGCATCTACAAAAAAACAATGCGAAATAGCAAAACCTAACCCCCACATACGGCGGGACACTACACGCCGGCTCGATCGAGTTTCCGAAAAAAACACGAGATCCGGTTTATTGGAATAAACAAGCCCTACAGCAGTTTGGAAAGTGAGGGATGGTCCAATTCCTCTCACATTCCAGGCCAGAAGCCTCATTTATCGGACTGGGGCCATTCGAGGCTGGCTTCCTCCACCTTTTCCAAACCATCAGCAGTTTCCACAAATTGTTTCTTCGGAGTGGGTGGGTCACCTACATCCCCGTCCAGCGCATCAATTCCCCTCTTCCGATTCTCCATGCTTGGGCCCATCATATTAGACCCGTATTCATTCAGAGTCAAACTCGACTCCTTGGGAGGAGCACCCTCCTTCTGCTCGAAGACAAGCCCAGCCTCAAACGCCTCTACTACTTGGTGGACACGCCCTTTCATGATTTGGCAAGCTTTCGTAGAGGGCCCACCTGGTGAACGTCGCTTGATCTCAAAAGAGTTATACTCCCCAAGCGAGTGCTCGCCATCTGAGTCAGAATCCTTCTGGTGATTCTCATGCACAAGACTATCCAGAGGAATAACAACCTCAACTTCCTCCAGCCCATGCATATATAGCACTAGGTGTGGCAGAGCCCCTGCCCTGTTTGTCCATAGGCAGCAAGCCTTTAGCACCAGCTTTCCTCATGCGTAGGCGAACCCGTGGTGGCACAACCCCGGACTGGGTCCCAGGCTTGAAAGATGCTCGGATATCCTCAGTACCCGCCATTTCTTTTTCTTCCGACTCCTCTTGCTCAAGAACCTTCACCATAGCATCCGCCTTCTTTTGGCGTTGGGGAGCCTGCCTAGCACGCCTATCTGGCAGATGGCGACCCTTGGTGCCCTGCCCAGGAAGAGAGGCAGCCTTTTTAGGTGACTGCTTGTTCTGGAACTGTCGCACCCCACCGCCAATCTTAACCCGCAGGGACGTCTTGAAGATAAACTGCTTAGGACTAGCACGATTCCCAGCCATCTGGATATTTGGTTCATGCAGCCTAGGCTGCTCCTCCTTGCGAGCTTGAGCTAGCAATCTTCACCAACAAAATAACCGATAACCAACTATACGGTTAACTGAACTAATATAAACAGTATATTTTTTTATTCAATGCTAGAATGATGTTTTTATTTACTTTTGTTGGTTTTACTTGATTATAGATTAATATCCATGTTAAATTAGGATTCATTTCTTATCGCAAATATCCACTTGTAGCATGCCGTCTCTCAATGGACTGGCGTAATTTTTCTACCGCGTGTACATTTCCGTTATGATGGTGTTTTTCCAAAATCAAACTTGTTTTTGGTTAACAATCGCCCGAGCTTGGTCACTGCGACCCCCCTTTGCGAGGAGGCACCCCTTCTCTCAAAGTTACGGGGCTATTTTGCCGAGTTCATTAGAGAGAGTTGTCTTGCGTCCAAGTTAAACAGTGTATTTATATTCGGCGTCTCCTTTATATGACGGGGGGGCATTCCTTTGATTCTTACTGATCAAAATTTGATTCCAAAGGAAATTGAGCAAAAAGCAGCAAAATTGGCGTATTTTTTGCTTGTACCGATTGTTTTTTATTCAATGCTAAAATAAATAAATAAATAACGCATTCTAATGTAGGAAAATTCTAAAAAGATGCACAATTGAAGAAAAAGGAGGTATTTGTTAGTAGGGTGGGTTACCAATCAGATATTTTGGTCTAGCCTTTCCAACTCACATGCTTAACAGTTATTCGGTTAACCAATAACTAACTATACGGTTAACTGAACTTGTATAAACAGTGCGGTTAATGGTGGACACAAATTGCTTAACGGTTAACCATAACCGACTCAATGGTTATGGTCATAATAAAACCAAAGCGAATCAACTAACAATCCTAATGTTTGGGGTTCAGTATTTCGATTTACAAATAAATTGTGTTTAATTACAGTACTTAATTTATTACACTTATTAATTGTAGGCTTTTTAAATAAATTCTATTTAGGATTTAGGTTTATATTTATAAATAAATTATGTTACTTATGATAATTAGTTCGTTGAGCTTATCATAGGATTGGACATATATTATCTCAGATATGTGATGTTAATTAGTTTGTAATGATTTCAATAGACTTGAATTGGTAGAATAAGAAAATATTAATATTGACGCATAATAATATAATCATAATTGTGTGAAAATGTTTAAAATGTTCTATTCGGATTTTGATTCCACGATATACTTTTATATTGACATCCACTCTACAACTTTCGATCTAGCTGACTTACGTAAAAATAAAAATGATGCATATGATCCACTCAAAATAAATGGTATACTTATTCAATATCAACTTCATCCAAATGATAGCTAATTTGTAAATAAAATTCATTTAACTAGCTAGGGAATGAGAGAGCTTGTAAGTTGTGGATCCTTAGGATGGACTATGAGTGAATTAGACATTGTAAATGAGAATGAAAATTAGGATGATTCTAATTGAAAATGGTTGACCGAGAGGTCTTATTTTCTAATCTTTCAAACTCATTTATTAAGTACATGATATTCAGATTAATGGAAAGTCTAAATACGTTTGTGTTATTAAGTGGTACAAGTCTCATTATTAAAACTCTCTCAATAACTAGAGTTATTGATATTAAACGTTTCTGGACAAGAAAACCATCCGAAAGTGAACAACTATCTAAACCATGACTAAGTGTTTGTATACATAGCTTATGTTTAGCCCGTCTTTTACAAGTGCTTTTCGACTTCAAAAGTTGAAGTAGGCCAAACAACTCTAAGAGCTTGGCTTTTGAAAAGCCGAACAATGCTTTTGTATAATATAAAAGCAGAATCTTCGATTTGGAGTTTCTGCTAAAAGCTGTTTTGAAAATACAAGATTATCTTTACCATATTTTAATTTTATTTAAGAACATATATTTTAATTTTATTTATATCATTTTAAAATATATTTAATAAAATAAATTAAAAATTTTATATTATTTAGTATGAAAAAATCTAACAAGATCGATATTCACTACTTTTTTTATTGTTTATAATTTTTATTCATATTTTATATTATCAATCTGATATAGTCATTTTATAGAACTTATATTAATAATCACTTTATATAGTTTTTTAGCCAAACACTCAATTGTTTTTTTGGAAAAGTATTTATCTAAAAGCTCCAGTCAGAAGTTGCTTCTGCAACACCAATAGCAGGGTCAAACTAGCCCATAAAGTTATATTCTTGATAGTTTGTACTAACGATGTATTATAAATTTTACCTAGTTTTCCAAATATAATATTATATTATGGATTATTAAAAATTAACCAAAAATTATTTTATAATGTGTATTTTTTCAAAATGAAAATAACGAAAACTAAGGGTTGTTTTTGAGGGAAAATAAAACAAAATTTACTCTTCCTCATTACCTCCATCACGTCCCTCCTCTCCCTCTGAGAAATAGTGTGGAGTGTTGAATATTAAAGGAGACAACGATATAACGTGGTTCGTCCTCACGGAGAGTGAGGCTTACATCCACGGAACGAGAGCTTTTCTTATTCAGTGATGATGGCCAAAGGGCTTACAAGAGATGTATTTATACCCTTCTCAACAGGAGACAACAAGGGTTTACAATGGCTCTTACGTAACCTAGGCATAGTAGGAGAAGGTAAGTTAACAGTAAAGGATTCTGCTTCCTCATCCTTCTCGGCTGCAGCTAGGTCGAGCGATGGGCCTTCGTGGGCATGCTGGGATGGATCAGCTACTCGGCCCAATACGCCCCCGCAAGCTGAACGGTGAAGATCACGAACGTTGAGCTTGGAGAGGCGAAATCTGAATCGATCAGCGCCAAGGCCTTTAGTGAAGAGATCCGCAAGCTGGAACTGCGAGCTGATTTTGCAAGGTGCAACATCGCGGGAAATAACTCGCTCACGGATGAAATGACAGTCCATTTCAACATGCTTACTCCGTTCGTGAAAGACGGGATTAGCTGCGATATGAAGGGCATCCTGATTATCACAGAACAGAGTAGTGGGACGTGACTGGGGAACACCAAGCTCACTGAGTAGCCAACGAAGCCAAATGACCTCACTAACAGTACTGGCCATGGCACGGTACTCAGCTTCAGCAGAAGAACGGGCGACCACCTTCTGTTTCTTAGTACGCCAAGAAATGGGAGAATCACCAAGGCGAATAAAGAAACCTGTAGTGGAACGACGAGTGCTCTCACAACCACCCCAATCAGCATCACAGTAAGCAACTAAATCAAGTGTACCTTCTGCAGGGAAATAGAGACCTTGACCCGGGGATTGCTTGAGATACCGCAAGATCCGATGAGCAGCATCCATGTGATCCTGAGTAGAAGCATGCACAAAACGACAAAGAATGTTGACCCCATAAGTGATATCTGGGCGAGTGACAGTGAGATATTGAAGGCGACCGAGCAGGCGACGATAAGGAGAGCCATCGGCTAAAACTGCAGATGAAGAGCGGGTAAGGTGATGATTTTGCTCTACTGGAAAAGAACTGGGACGAGCAGCCTGTACGCCGGACTCTTCTAGAATATCCAGGGTATACTTACACTGACTGAGAACTATACCACGGGGAGAACGGACAACTTCAATGCCCAGAAAATATCGAATAGGACCCAAATCCTTGATGCTGAATCGCTGATCAAGGAAGGACTTGACATGACTAATGAAACCCATATCGTTGCTGGCAAGTAGACCATCGTCAACGTAAATGAGTGCAGTGACAAATATAGAACCCTTCTGAAAGACGAAGAGAGAATGATCCGCCGGAGAAGCACGAAAGCCAAGTTCAGAGAGAGATGCTGTAAACTTGTGATACCACATACGTGATGCTTGCCGAAGACCATAAAGCGACTTATGAAGTCGACAAACACGAGTATCTCCACTCTCAGCAAAGCCAGGTGGGAGACGCATATAAACTTCCTCAGTGAGATCCCCATGCAGAAAAACATTGTTGACATCCAACTGATGAACATAACAGTCACGATGGGCGCGACAACGAGTAGACATCGAACAGTAACCAGTTTAGCAACTGGCGCAAAAGTATCGTGAAATTCGATCCCCTCAACCTGAGTGTAACCCTTGGCAACGAGACGGGCCTTATACCACTCAATGGAGCCATCCGGACGGTATTTGATCTTGAATACCCATTTGCAGTCTATGATATGCTTTCCAGAAGGTGCTTGAAGAAGGCTCCATGTGCCATTAGCCACTAGAGCAGAGATCTCGCGAATCATGGCCTCCCGCCAATGAGCATGACGAACGGCCTCATTGAAAGTGCGGGGCTCATCGTGACTAGTGACGGATGCCAAAAAGGCTCGATAAGTGGGTGTCATACGTGAGTAGGACACATGAGCTGAAAGGGGATATCGAACTGCATGAATGGTAGTATCATACATGTCCAGATGCTTTGGGCGCGGGAGCAGGGGCCGAAGGAGTGCTGTCGGCATGTGAGGGAGAGGGTACGACCACGGGTGATGAAGGCGGCGTGACCATTTCGGGATGGGGGTTCTCGTCGACTGAGAGTGAGGAGGAAGTTTGGACATGCGTGACTTCAGGAGGAGTGACTACCTCCTTTTCAATGGAGGAAGAGACCAGCGGAGTGGCATCATCCTCGATGGAGGGAGACTGCAAGTGATCTGGCGGAATCCAATGAAGAGAAGTGGCAGACGGAGTGCGAAACGGAAACTGGTCTTCAAGAAAATGGACGTCCCGGGAAACAAAGATCTTCTTGGTTACTAGATCATATAACCTGTAGCCCTTCTGACCAGCCGGGTAGCCCAAGAAAACACAGGCGCGCCCCCGATCAGCGAACTTGTGAAGATGGTGATGGGTGTCTTTAGCGTAGACGAGGCACCCAAAGACCCGAAGATGCTGATACTTAGCGGGGGAAGAGAATAGAATCTCAAAGGGAGTCCGTCCGGTGGCTGTGGTAGGAAGCCGGTTCAGCAAATACGTTGCTGTGAGAATGCACTCTCCCCAGAACTGAAGAGGGAGCTCGGCATGAAAGCGTAGTGCACGGGCGGTTTCCAGGATATGTCTATGCTTTCTCCCGACAACCCCATTTTGTTGGGGCGTGTCGGTGCAGCTAGTCTGGAAATGAATCCCGTGGCGCTCATAATAGTCACGTAAGACAGTAGACTGGAACTCGGTCCCATTATCGGTCTGAATGTGTTTAACTCGACTGTTAAATTGAGTAGCAACCATCTCACAAAACATCATCAAATACCGTCCAACCTCGGACTTGAATCGTAACAAATAGACCCAAATCCCATGACTGAAATCATCGACGATAGTGAGCAAGTAGTGAGCGCCGCTAAAGGAGGGAACATGATAACCACCCCATAAATCCAGATGTATAAGATCAAAACAAGCAGATGTCTTTATTGAACTAGAACCGAAAGGAATCCGAACTTGTTTTTCACGATAACAAGAATGACGAGGGTCTTTAACCGAATCAACAATCAAACTAAAAGATAATAATGGCTTGAGCTGCACCATCTTCGGGAGAGAGGATGACCCAAACGCGAATGCCAGACCTCCGTGGACACATCACCGCCACCAGCCGCCAGAGCCAGACGTTCTTGACGATCAAAGAGACGGAGATAGTATAGGCCATCACGGAGAATCCCCTTCCCAATCACGTTCTTGGATCGTAAGTCCTGGAGCAGAAAAAATCACGGAGGAATATCAAAGCCACATCATGCTCGGTAGTCAACCGGCTAACTGAGAGTAGATTACAGTGAAAGTCTGGAACATAGAGAATCCGATCCAATTTGAACCCAGCAGATAACTCGACGGAACCCACTTTCAACACGGGCACACTAACCCCATTGGGAATTTTGACAGGACGGCTAGAAGTATCAACTGAGCTACTACTTAACATAGATTCTTCATGCACGATGTGCTCATTACAGCCCGAGTCGATTAGCCATTCAAAACCAGAAAGAAAAATACCTGCCATGTTGGATGCGGGGGACTCGGCTGGCTTAGAAAGTGAGAAGAATGCCCGAAGTTGCTCAAGCTGCTGCAAACTGAAACCCGAGATTGGACTCTCGGATTCGACTTGAGAAGCACGCGGATGTGGAGCATCTCCTTGACCACGACGCTTGCGGCCACCACCAGAAGAACTCTTGCCGTCCTTGTCATGGCTGGGATATCCAATAAGCTCATAACAGGTGGCCTTAAAATGACCCAGCTTTCAATATGGAGACACTTCGGTCTGCCCCCTTCTCGAGGCTCAGAAGAATTTGAGTGGAGATTAAGATCAAGTGCAGAATCACTGCGTGTGTTGAAGGCAGCAGCCTCCACTTGCGGCCGACGCTCTTGAGTGAGCAGTCTTTGTTGTTCATCGTTTGAGACAAGATTAAACGCCTCGGTCAGAGAAGGGATGGGTTTGGTGGCAAGTACCTGTGTACGAATTGTACCAAAACTATCATCGAGACCCATGAGGAAGTCGAACAACAGTGAGCTTTCATCACGCTCCTTTGTTCGACGCTCGAAACCACACGTACAGAGACCGCACGTGCATTTGGGCAAGGGAGAAATAGACTGCGCTTCGTCCCAATGCGTACGCAGCCGAGTATAGAAGGCTGAGACGCTTAACTTTTCTTGTTGAAGAAGGCTTATGAGACGACGGAGCTCATAGGCGCGAGACGCGCTCCCCTGGCCGAAACGTTCCTTGAGGTCGAGCCATATCTCCTGGGATGTCGCTGCATATCGGATGCTACCACGAACTTCCTTGTCCATGGCAGCGCGGAGCCATCCTTTAACAACGACATCGCACCTCGTCCAGACTCGAAGCTGAGGATCAGAAGTAGGTTTCGGAATCGTCCCATGGACAAATCCAAACTTGTTGCGAATGACTAGGGCGTCAGTCATCTCGATGACCCATTCGCCATAATTTGATGACGTGAGAGGTTCGCCGATCTGCAACTGACTTGCAAGCTCGGACGGATGAAGGTAGAATGGAGAGGACGAATCCTGGTCTTTCCCGGAACTGGAAATCAACGGACCAGACGAGGAGGAATTCTTGGACTCGTCGTCGTCCATGATGACTTAAGAACTCGAGATAGCTGGACCTATAGCTCTGATACCATGAGAAATAGTGTGGAGTACTGAATATTAAAGGAGACAACGATATAACGTGGTTCGTCCTCACGGAGAGTGAGGCTTACATCCACGGAACGAGAGCTTTTCTTATTCAGTGATGATGGCCAAAGGCCTTACAAGAGATGTATTTATACCCTTCTCAACAGGAGACAACGAGGGTTTACAATGGCTCTTACGTAACCTAGGCATAGTAGGAGAAGGTAAGTTGACAGTAAAAGATTCTGCTTCCTCATCCTTCTCGGCTGCAGCTAGGTTGAGCGATGGGCCTTCGTGGGCATGCTGGGATGGATCAGCTACTCGGCCCAATACCCTCCCTCTCACTACCTCAATTACTTTTCTCTCTCTGTACTAAGTACTGCATGAAGATAACAATGTTTTAACTGTTGTAGTTGCTTCCAAAATAATAGTGCTTTTGATGATTTATAGTCGTCATCTATGATTTACAATACAGATTTTAAACTTAGTAGTAATTTTCTGGTTAATAGTTGTAATTTAGTGTGCTTGTAGCAGTGATATGGGACGATATTTGAAATTCGGTGCACCTGCTGTATTTTATTTGATGATTTGTATTAGTGATTTGATGGTTTATCATATTCAATTTATCAGGGGCGGAGTCAGAATTTTGTATTCGTGGGCCCGAAATTTATTTCTCGATTACAGTAAAATTACGATATATGTTTTTAATTGTGTGTCGTGCCAAGCATATATGTGCTAAATATTACGAACAAAAAAAACAGTCATTAATTTTTAACTGTGTGACATGCCAAGTTACTAATTTCTCTAATATATTTTAAAAATTTTAAATTTCCATGTTAACGAACTTAATTAATTATTATATAAAATTAGTGTAAAATAAAATTAAAAAAAGTTTAATGATTGAAGGCCTTTTAGCCACAACAATGTAAAAAAGGAAACTTTACTCCAAACCAATGTCCAAAGTAAGGAAATCTAAAATAATAACAACATTTAATAATTGAAGGCTGTTTGAGCCACAGCAATATAAAAAGAGTAATAGGTATAATATGCCCCTCTAGTATGTAGTTTTATCAAACATGCCCCTTTACTATTTTTACATCAAATATGCCCTTGTACTTTGGAAAAGTTATCAAACATGCCCTTCTATTAAAATTTCCATTAAAAAAATCGTCAGCCATGGTTGAACCGAGATGTAGACGACCCGACATCGGCAAATGAGAAGAAAAATGTCAGTTTTGTCCCCCGTTTTATTTTTCTAGGTCTCGTTAAAGTGAAATTATTAGAGGTATTTGGCTCTACAAAAGAACCCAAAAAATTCTAAAGTGAAATTACCAGAGATATTTTAGACATTTGTGTCGCCCAAAGTAAGGTACGACACATATTATAGGTATAATATGCCCCTCTACTATGTTGTTGGCTGTTTTTGGATGAAAATATTAACAGAAGGGCATGTTTGATCATTTTTCTTAAGTACAAGGGCATGTTTGATGTAAAAAATAGTAGATGAGCATGTTCGATAAAACAACATAGTAGAGGAGCATATTATACCTATAACCCATATAAAAACTAAAAGCTGAAAAGGGAAAGTTGCACTAAAGTAGCGAAATCTTTATAAAAAACAAGAGTATGGGGTTGGGAATAGAACCCAAATCCTTAGATAAGGAATTGAGATCTTGCCCGCTGGACTAGACCAAGGTAAATCTTTCTTTCCGCACAGTCCCATTTATATAAAATAATTAGTTTCTTTGTAAATTGGAGAAATCTCGACGAATTTCTAAGTAGCTATGAAATTTCTGGGAGGCTGGCTCCCCAGCTTGTATATTGTTCCGCCTACGGGTGGGCAATGGGCGGGTTGAGTGGATTTTGGTTTAAAATTGACCCACCCGCTTACTAGCGGGTTGGAATATATGTGACCCGCAATTCACCCACATACTTATGCTGGTTGGGTTGGGTGGGTGGCGGATAGGTGCGGTTTGGTCGCGGGTTAACCCGCAAAAGCAATTCTCCAACTAGCCATTAAGAAAATTGACTAACATTTATAATAAGTTCATAGCAAATTAGTAAGAGAGGCATTTTAGTATGCTATATAGCATGTATACTTTACTATGTTTATAGCCATTGGATATTGTTAAATATTATGAGCCACAAGATCTTGTTAAATTAATTAGTTTTATTTATTTATTTGGTATTGGTTACCTGTGGTACCGGTTCACAAGTTTGATAGTAATAAAAAAATCAATTCGAAATTAGGGAAAGCTTCAGTTCAGTCGACTTCTCCGATTGAGCAGTTTCAGTCGACATCTTCGATTTTCCATTCTCTTCGATGACAGTGAAGGCGGTGAGCAGGGGGTGACGGCAAGCCGGATTCTGAAAGAGTTCGACGGCGAGTGCGACGCTGGGTAAAGGAAGAAGTAGGGTGTTGCATCTCTTCGTCGATTGTGATTCGCGGAAAAGGGGATTGAGCTCGTCGATTGCATAGACTGGGATTTTGTCGACGGCAACGGAGGCAATAGCCCCATTTCCACCTTCGAATTGTTTCTCCCTAGAAAGGTGGCTCTTATTCTTCAAAGCTCTTCTTCTCCAGTCCATCCAACCTTAGCCCAGTGCCCGCCATCATTAGCTTCAAGCTCACCCGCCTTGGCTTTACTGTGCTTGAAGGTTTTCACCGACGGCAACAGAGGCAATAGGCCCATTGCCAGTTTTATTGTCGGAGGAGCTCGATCGTTTGAGCCCCATTGTCAGTTACCGCAGCCCCCTTGCATCTCCGCCATTGGTTGCTGTCGTCGTTACAGGTCGACCTAGGGTTTGTATTCTGTTTTATTTGCTTTCCTACTTATTTGTTAGTCTCTGCGAAGTTTCTTCAGTTCGTCTGAGACCTTTTAACCTGCCCTGAATCTGCCGGCTTTTGATTGTAGTTCGCGAAATAAGCAGAGGGGGAAAAACCAAAGTAGAAAGAGATGTTCTTTCTGAGTCTGATAGAGCACAAACTGCGTTTTCCACCTGCTGATCTATCGCTTCCTCTCCATAAAGGCATCAAGAAATTTCTTGATGGTATCTTCTTGGATAGGGTATGCTTGTACCCTCATTTGTCTCTCTATGTCCATTTGCAAAGCAGCTCTTAGAATTCTGAACAAACCAATAATGGTTTTCTTCCTTCGTGATATGGCTTCTAAGGTTATCTTGAACTTGGGACGCTGTGTGTCCATCTATGACATTAGAAATATATATGGCGGCTTCATTCATGCCGGAGAAGGTGCTCCAACCTACACTGTGAGTTACATCGTACATCTTTTGTCAGTTTGGTTGCTTTTGTTGAAGTGAATCAATGAAGCTTGATTAGTGAATTGGTGTGATTTCTTTATTTCTGTTAACGCTGGTGGAAACGAACCAATGCATTTGGAGATAATGCTTCGCTATGATTCTTGCAGTTAGAATTTAGAATGGTGGTATTCCGGCCTTTTACATGAGAGATTATTGTTACCAAAATTATAGAATCTGATAAGGATGGTCTTCGATGTAAGTTCTGATTGTTGTCTGCTTTGACGACTCCTGCACTAGTGTTAATCTGGCTTTGCTGCGATTCGTGTGATACGCCTAACCCATATTTATCAAGAAAATTTGTCTGAAGAAAAGAACATGATTTAATGAATTTGATGTGAGATCTGCCAGTTCCTTTGGCATTTCACTAGGTTAATAGCAGTTTAGGTGCAAAGCCAATGGATAAATAAGGATTTCTTCTTAGAGAAGAACAAAGGAAGACTAATCTTAGAACAATTTTCCTCATATGCAAAGCGATTTGGGTAGTGAAATTGGGTGATCTCACAGTCATTATATAAAGAATAGGCTAGGATAGATTGCTGATTTATTTCATTCTCTAGCTGAGTATTGCAACCTTCATCTCTTCTCTTTTTGGCCCTTTCTTGTGTGTTTATGTTTACTTCCTATTACATTATAATAACAACCATTCTCTTCCTAATTAATTGACATAGAAAGCATGATTTACAGTATCGCGTGGATTCCTTGATGATATCTATGTGCCAGCTCATCAGCTTCCCCAACCATGCCATCAAATTCCAGATCCTGATCGCAGGTAAGATCACTCTTACTTGCTACCTGAGAGTACCCAAGGAATACACCCTTTGTTAATCATCGCAGATGAGATGAAACATGATTAGGAATGTTAAGTGGTCATTCCTTAATGAGTTGATTATTCATGTAATGCAATATGTATATAGTGATGCAATCCTTGTTTCTTCTCACTGCCCCTTTTACTCCACACCTCAATTTAGTCATGAAAATTGACTAAATTCTCTGTGTGGACTGCAGATTTAAAGTCAGATGGATATGGGAATACGACATCGAAGATACATGAAACCCAGAACAGTATAACATCGACGGCTTGGATTGCATTATTAGCACCACAAACTTACTAGGAAATCTATATGCAAGTTTACATTGTCTTTACCATACTGCTCCCCTCACTGTCCTGTTAGGTGGTTCCGAGTTCTGAATGTGAGCTTCCCACCACTTCCAATTGAGCATCGAGAGAAGCCTTTTGCTCTGATGCTTGTTACTGTAAGCCAGCCTACAAAGTCATGCTAACCAGATCTTGCTATATTTGATGTTCTTTATGGTGTTCTTCTTACAAGGTATGTCTTGATGTGGGTGACTTGTGTCTTGATGCCAGGGATCCATATCTGAATGTGGTTTGGGGCCGGTTTCATGGTGGTGATAGAAAAGGGTTCAGAACTTGAAGAAACTAAGGATTTTTTGCAATGACATTATCATAAAAGCACTGGGGAATTCAGCTTTGAGGGAGGACAATAGAAGTGTTAGAGAGTATAATGTTTTTGGGACTTTAGAGTATGGTCCAGAGTCGTTTGTATCTAGGTTGCCTTTGCAGGAAGATTGGATGGCCTAGCCTAATGTCATCGGAATGTTCCAAGTAGAAACTGCATAAAAAACTTAGAGAATGCTAGCTCTATTCCTACTTAAGTCATGACATGTTGTTACAATTTGTAAGCAATCTATGCTATGAAACAGCCACATTTTACGGGTATGAGATTTTCAACTCCAAGCCCGTGATAATGACTAGGATTTAGCGAGTAACATGTACAAAAAATTTACTTCAAGTTAATTTTAATATTTACGAATTTTATGTGATGGTCAATCTTTGTTTTCAAATTTTTTTTTGGATTACTACTAATCTAATACTATACAACTAGTTTAAGTTCATGGAGGCAAAATCTCATATTCTATATATTAAAGTGGCTTATTATGTGCCATATTCCTATGATTTTTGACATGTCATTGTCCAAAATACGATGTATCATCCATAAACACAAAGATTAACCATGTTTCTTCGACTTGTACCATTATTACTCCATGTTGTACCACAAGTCCGAATGTACAACCAGAACTTGTACCTATTAGGGGTGTGCATGAGTTGGGTTGTCCGGGTTTAGCCCTTTTAATCACCCGACCCATGCACTACGGTTTGGAAAATATTAAACCCATACCCAACCAAAAAAATTAAAACCCTACGATTAGTTTTTAAATGGGTTGGGTCGGGTTTGCGATATTGTTAAGTTAAAACCCAACCCAACGCAAAATATGTAATTATAGTACACATAAAATATTTTATAACTTGTACCTATACAATGGTACAACTTTAAGTTGTACCTACACTTTCTAACAAATCCCTCTTTGGTACAACTCAAAATTGTACATATACTAATGGTACAACTTTCAGTTGCACCTACACTTTCTAACGAATCCCTCTATGGTACAACTCAAAATTGTATCTATACTAATGGTACAACGTTAAGTTGTACCTACACTTTCTCAAAATTCTTCTATGGTACAACCTAAACTTGTACCTATACTATGGTACAATTTTAAGTTGTACCTACACTTTCTAACAAATCCCTTTATGGTACAACTGAAAATTGTACCTATACTAATGGTACAACCTTAAGTTGTACATACACTTTCTCAAAATCCTTCTGCGGTACAACCCAAACTTGTACCTATACTATGGTACAACTTTAAGTTGTACCTACACTTTCTAACAAATCCCTCTATGGTACAACTCAAAATTGTACCTATTCTTGTGGTACAACCTTATGTTGTAACTACACTTTCTAAAAATCCTGTTATGGTACAACCCAAACTTGTACCTATACGATGGTACAAATTTTAGTTGTACCTACACTTTCTAACAAATCCCTCTATGGTACAACTCAAAATTGTACCTATACTAGTGGTACAACCTTAAGTTGTACCTACACTTTCTCAAAATTCTTCTATGGTACAACCCAAACTTGTACCTATACTATGGTACAACTTTAAGTTGTACCTACACTTTCTAAAAATCCTTCTATGGTACAACCCAAACTTGTACCTATACCATTGTACAACTTTAAGTTGTACCTACACTTTCTAACAAATCCCTCTATGGTACAACGCAAAATTGTACCTATACTAATGGTACAACTTTAAGTTGTACCTACACTTTCTCAAAATCCTTCTATGGTACAACCCAAACTTGTACCTATACCATGGTACAACTTTATGTTGTACCTACACTTTCTAACAAATCCCTTTATGGTACAACTAAAAATTGTACCTATACTAATGGTACAACCTTAAGTTGTACCTACACTTTCTAACAAATCCTTTTATCGTACAACTAAAAATTGTACTTATACTAATGGTACAACCTTAAGTTGTACCTACACTTTTTCAAAATCCTTCTATGGTACAACCAAAACTTGTACCTATAATATGGTACAATTTTAAGTTGTACCTACACTTTCTAGTAAATCCCTTTATGGTACAACTCAAAATTGTACATATACTAATGGTACAACTTTAAGTTGTACCTACACTTTCTAATAAATCTCTTTATGGTACAACTAAAAATTGTACCTATACTAATGGTACAACTTTTAGTTGTACCTACACTTTTTCAAAATCCTTCTATGGTACAACCCAAACGTGTACCTATACCATGGTACAACTTTATGTTGTACCTACACTTTCTAAAAATCCTTCTATGGTACAACCCAAAATTGTACCTATACTAATGGTACAGCTTTAAGTTGTACCTACACTTTCTAACAAATCCCTTATGGTACAACTAAAAATTGTACCTATACTAATGGTACAACCTTAAGTTGTACCTACACTTTCTCAAAATTCTTTTATGGTACAACCCAAACTTGTACCTATAACATGGTACAATTTTAAGTTGTACCTACACTTTCTAATAAATCCCTTCATGGTACAACTCAAAATTGTACCTATACTAATGGTACAACTTTAAGTTGTACCTACACTTTGTGAAACAAATTCTTCAATGGTACAGCTGAAACTTGTACCTATACGATATGGTACAACTCTAATTTGTACCTACACTTGTATACATTGATTCATTATTTACAAGATTGCCATTAATGATGTGGGACCAGTCATTTGGTAGATTTACCTCCTCAACGGGTCACCTTTTCTATAGCATGGGTGCTATAGAGCACACTAGAAGGGCTCATTAGTAAGATTGTATCAATAATTTGTGATTTTTTATACAATTAATAATTTATTGTTTGTATCCCAATATTTAATGGATATTAACAATAATTTGCATACCAATATCCAATATTCAATGTGTATTGCACAACACAATAACCAATAATAGTAGTCAAAACTATTCTTTATTCTCCACATTTTGAAGTATATGGTCAGATTGTAGTGCAGTTCTAAAATATGATGAATATTCGATACTATAAGAAACAACATTTTTCCATGTAAAAATAGGACGCGGGTCATACGGGTGACCCGCAATCCACCCACCATCCACCCACATAAGTGCGGATGAGAGATTTAACAATCCGCAATCCACCCACATCAGTCACCCATTGCATGCAGGTCAGATTATTTGCGGATGGATCGATATCAATCCGCGGATTAACCACCCTCGTGCCCACCCCTAGTTCCGCCCCAGGAATTTATGATTAGTAGTAATTGATCAATTTTATGGTTAGTAGTGATATTATGTAGTTATTTTTCTAGTAGTGATCGCTTATTTTCTATAAAACGCTAATTGTTACTAAACGGTGGAGCCAAAAATTTGAACGATGGGAGCTAAACATTTACATTCTAAAGATTTGAATTGGGGAGGGGAGCTAAAGCCTTATCACCTATTTTATCTTTTCGAATTTGTTACTAAATTTACATGTAAATTAACACAATTTTGAGAGTTGGAAGGAGCTATAGCCCCCTAAAAATGAGAAATGACAACTTCAAATAATCAGAATCACTGATATATTAGTATTACTACTACTGTTATAGTACCATCACTACTGCAAAAATATCCATCGCAAATGACATTACTATAACAAAAAAAAAATCTGTTAAGTTTCAATTAATCAGGGGGAAGAGAGAACTGAGGGAAAGGAGAGAGACGTCAAAGAGAATAAAATATGTTGATTTAATATAAGTTTTAAATTAACTTTATTTAAAAAAAGCTATAAGTATAATATGTCACTCTACTATGACATTTTATCAAACATGCCCCTCTACTATTTTTCACATCAAACATGCCTTCAGTTGAAATTTTCATTGAAAAAATCGTTAATCATGGCTGAATCGTGATTTAGATGACCTGACATCGATAAATGGGAGGGGAAATGTCAGTTTTGACCCTTGTTTTTTTTCTCTAGGTCTCGTCAAAGTGAAATCATTTGAATTATTTGGCTATACAAAAGAACAAAAAAAAAACTCTAAAGTGAAATTATTAGGAATATTTTAGATATTTGGGTCGCCCAAACCAAAGTTCGGTCTTGGTTAAATGTTTTGGATGGAAATTTTAACAAAAGGCATGTTTGATAAGTTTTCCAAAATACAAGGACATGTTTGATGTCAAAAATAGTAGAGGGGCATGTTTGATAAAACGTTATAGTAGACGAGCATATTATAGCACCTAAAACCCTTTAAAATTTTCCAAAACTATCATTAATTCATTATAATTAAAGCCTACCAGATTTGGCATTAAAAAATTGAAGCATGATTAATCGGCTTAGCATCCGATCCATTTTTGGAATGGTGGCCCAATTCAACATTATTTTACTCCCTACACCTATCTTGATTGCACACTTTAATTACCAGATTCGATGCTCCAATAACTAGTGCAGCATGGACCAGTACGCCCATCCATCCAACACTTCGGATCGCTCTATAAGAAGAGCCCTTCCCTCAAATCATATTCACACACCAATCCCTCCTATCTCGATAGCAATAAGCAGCAGACGACATGGCTCAACTACAGAAGCTGGAGACGAAGGTTGCAATGAAATCACCAGAGAAGATCGCAGCTTTCTTCAGGGACAGCTTCACCTCCCTGCCTCAGTTTGCCCCTGGCCTCATCAAGACCGCCGAGATCATGGGAGGCGGACACAAGGCAGCACCTGGTTCCGTACTGCTTGTCAAATACTCCCTCCGTAAGGACTGTTTTTTTTTTTTTTTTTTTTTTTTGTTAGTAAAAAGAGCAAGCAATTACTTCCACATCTAATCCTTGTTCGTGATGAATTGAGTTCAGCTGGGAGCCCCTCAATGAGTGCGAAGATCAAGTGGGAAGAAGAAGCCACGGACGCGGAAGAAGGGAAGAAGTCGTGCTCGTTCACGGTGATAGAAGGGGAGGTGCTGGAGATGTACAAGAGTTACAGTCTGAAGATTGAGATGGACAGTGACGCTGGGCAGTCGGGGTGGACCATTGGGTACGAACTGGCCAACCCTAATGTTGCTCCTCCTCATGCATATCTCGAAGCATGCAAGCAGCTTCCGAAAGTCTTTGAGAAATACTGCTGATGAAGATTTTTCAGTGCTTGATTATAGTACGTACGTACTCATGAAAGATCAACTCACTCGTGAATTGGTTTCAAAGGGATTAAATAAGAGAGGCCACGAGGGCATACGGGGGTTACTTTGTGCCTCTGGCTTTTTTATTTTATTAATAATTAAGCTGTGTTTGACTCTCTGAGATCATGAATTCCAGTGGAAATAAACATTGTATCGCATCTATGTCTGTGTTAATGTCATTGTTCTCCCTGTATTTTTTGTACTCTAATAATAATATCTCCCCTTTGCCTGACTTGGGTAGTTATATACCTAAAATTAGGGGTGATAGATCGGGTTCGGTTTTTTGGGTTAACCCAAAACCAACCCGGTAGTGGTTTGTTCGGTTTTCAGGTTTAACTAGAACTGTTCTGCAGCGGTTTCGGTTTCGCTGAAACCCAAAAACCAATAATAACCCGAACTGCTGAACTGCTGAATTAGACATATTCTCAAATGGTAGAAAGAGAGGACGCAAGACTGGACGGGGGACCTAGGAAAGTTGAAAGGCTAAGGAAAGTTCGAGGACTTAGAAATGGACTTGACTAGCAAGAGAAGGTGCATGTGGCTAGGTATACTAAACACAACCTTTGTATAACCATTCCATCATATATACAACTAGGGGTGGGAAACAGTCCGGTTCGGTTTAAACCGGACCAGATTGACCCGGTTTTTTACAACCGTATTAGACAATCCCACGACCGAAGACGAGATTGGATTGTAACCCGATTTTGACCAAACCGAATTGGATGCAATATGGTTTGATCCGGTTTTAACCAAAAAACTGGATTGGTTTATTCCATCCCAACACGCTGTCGTTTGTAAATGAAATTAAAAAAAATTTATAAAAATTTGTAGACCATTTCAATTTTCACGTCTCTAGCCCTCTATCCCCATCCACACAATCCCTCAAAACCCTATCTTCTTCCATCTCTATCGTTACCGTCGTTGCTCTCTCAAACCAAACAACGAAATCCACTTCTTTCCTCTACTTTCTTCTGTTCTCCCATTCCTTTGCTTCTTGGAGAGCCGATGGGAGAGTCTGCACCCATAAACTCTCCTCTATTCCCCCTTCCTCTTGCATGCACAACTATCACCATGTATGTCGTGAACACAGGAGGCGAGCGCCGGTTTGCATCGGGGAGAGAGGTGAGTCGCTGGTGAGAGTGGCGATGGACGATTGGATGATGAAGGTCAGATCGGAAGATGGAGGGAGGCGATTGGAGAGTTCTGGTGGCGGAGTGGCGATGGACCGATTGCTGGCTCTCGGCTGGTCGCCGTCGGGAATCACGGGAAGCGATCGAGGGAGGAGATTGGCCGGCGTAGGAGCTTGGGTGCTCTTCGTCTTCTTCTTTTCTTCCGGCGTGTGTGTTTGTGTAAATTGTGAACAGAGAAGATAGAAGAGTTTGAGGGTTAGAGAGTGAGAGAACAGAGAGGAAAATCATGGCCGACTAGGGTTAAGGAGTGGGCTCGGGCTGGGAGTGGACTGGGACTTGGCTGAGCTCTGGGAGTTGGGCTGGCTATATTTGAATTATCCGGTTTTCCCCGATTTTAACCGGATCGGATCGGGCCGGTTTTTTGTGTGAATCCTACAACCGCAAACTGGATTGGGTGAATGGGAATCCGGTTTTTGGTTACAACTTGAACGGTTTAAACTGGCCGGTTTCCGGTTTGACCGGAAAACCGGGACCGGATTCCCAGCCCTATATACAACAATTCTCACTATGATACATTCCTACCACCATGGTGCACTTTTATACCAATCTTATTTACTACCAAATATAACCACCATGGTAAAGACTATTAATATGTCTCAATTTATTTATTTTTCCAAAAAATATAAAAAAGGATGTCATTTTGAGGAGCACAATTGATATCATTTTCTAGTAAAAATTTAATTACGATTTAAAATAAAAGATATAATTTTTTATTAAATTGAGGAAAAGTTATATCTCTTCAATAAACCGTTAATGAGATGGTTATTGATGGTAGTTACCATTCTCTAAATTGATGCATTTAATCAATTTATGTATTCTAATTAGATGCATTGTTTTAATGTACGAATTTGACAAATATATTGTTTGGAAGTTGAATGATTTTGGTGGTTCCTCAAAAAATGAAGAAGAAAAAATGAGAGATTGAAGATTTCAACTTTTAGATGAGATTGACAATCATCCATAATGAATGATTATAGTGGTCTCGTCCCCTGCTCAGATACAAGAGTATTCTGTTTTATTTTAAAACAAAAAAAAAATGAAAAATTCTCCAAATAGCATGTATTGCATGAATAATTCATCTCAAATCTGAACTTCCAAAATGATCACTTGGGTTGCTCGATCCACTCGAATTGCTTTACCCGTGTCAGCATTCAGATTCAGGTTGGCCTAACAAATCCACTTCTGTCACAGTTCTATATTGAATGAATTACCTACTACGTGGAATTTGAGGGATTGCATTGTATTTGTATCTAATGCGGCATGTAAGGTCACATGAAAACTACATGGCCAACGTTCTTCAAGGAGCCGACAAACCAAACACTGGTAAATACCTATGACGAGCAAAGCCACCCTGTACAACCCTGTATCTTCTTTACAACTTCCTCCGATTCCTTTTCCTTCTTTTTGGTTTCAATAATGAAAGCCACCCTAGGGTTTTGGGTCTGGATCAAATTAAACGACCCAGCTTCTTATTTGTCAGGGGACTCCCCAAACCCCGACAATATGACTTAAATAACTCATTGGCCTAGGCGGTCCTGCTACTTGGTAGGATCCACCACTTCGCCATCCAAAAAGTTTGTTTTTGTTTGTGCTACCATACCCTCTTTCTTAACAAAGTTTAGCATTTTTGCTCGCTTTGCAAACAAAAGCTTTCTATGTTTCATCTGCTTCCCCATCTTTCTGTGTTATAGCCTATCTCTTTTGTGGTGTTATTTGGGTCATCATCACAAGCCTGGTGGTACCCTAATCCTGTCTTCTACAAACCCTAACTGTGTGTCTCCCCACTAGTCGACCTTTCATGATTCCCATTACGAATTTGTTTAGTGCTCCACTATGTTTCTCCATCCCCCTCTGAGCATTAACCACATGTTTCTTTGCTATCTCAGGTTGCTGATGAGACAAAAGATGGCCCTGTGGGGTTTGTGGAGGGACCGGTTACTATGACAACACCCCTTGTGTTGTTATTGTAACAACACTAGTTTCCAACCAATAGGAAGCTAGAGTTGTGATGACTTTTTATTAGATGAGTTGACCTAATGTAAAATCAAAGCAGGGGTACAATTGTCATTATGAAAATATGTTTAAATAAATAAAAAATAATAAAATAATATTTTTTATTTTCGGCTCAAAATTTTGGTCGCCGAAATTCGGCCATATGTCGCCGGAATTTGGTCGCCGAAATTCGGCCATATGTCACCGGAATATGCCTTTTTATCGCCGGAATATGCCACCGTCGTCGGAATATGCTCACCGTAGTCGGAATATGCTTATCGGCGTCGGAATCTAGTCATCGGGGCCGGAATATGCCTATCGGCACCGGAATCTACTCACTGACGGTCATCGGAGTTTGGTCAACGGTCAACGACCACCGGATGTTATGGTCTGCATTATGAGATTTATGGTTTTGTTTCTCATATTTTTGTGTGCCTTTTGTGGTTTGCTTTATTGTGGTTGTGGGTTGCATTAAGATGTTTCTGGTTTGCTTTATCGTGTTTGTGGTTTGCATTGAGAAGTTTCTGGTTTGTTTTCAAAAACTTTGTGGTTTGTATTGAGGGGTTTTTGGTTTGTTTTAATATATTTGTGGTCTGCATTGGGACGTTTATGGTTTGCTTTTTTGTGGTTTGATTTACTGTGTTTGTGGTTTGCATTATGAGGTTTCTGGTATGGTTCGCAAATGTTGTGGTTTGCTTTGTGAGGTTTGTGGTTTGTTTTAGGAGATTTGTGGTATGCATTCGGAGGTTTCTGGTTTGCATTAAGAAGTTTCTGGTGTGCTTTCGAAACTTTTGTGGTTTGCTTTGCGAGGTTTCTGGTTTGTTTTAATATATTTGTGGTCTGCATTATGACGTTTTTGGTTTGCTTTACAGTGTTTGTGGTTTGCATTAGGGGGTTTCTGGTGTGCTTTTCAAAATATTTGTGGTTTGCTATGTGAGGTTTTTGGTGTGTTTTAGGGAATTTGTTGTATGCATTAGAAGGTTTCTGGTATGCTTTTTTGTTGTTAGTTTTACCGCGTTTGTGGTTTGTTTTATGAAGTTTCTGGTGTGCTTTGTGGTGTTTTTGGTTTGTTTTAGGAGAGTTATGGTTTGTATAATAAGGTTTTTGGTGTGCTTTAAAAATATTTATGGCTCACTTTGTGGTGTTTCTGTTTTGCTTCACGAGACTTAAGTTCTACATTAGAATGCTTCTGATACATCATAAAACAAAAAAAAAATATATGATAAACTTTGTTGATCTTAGGGACAATTGATCTCAAGTGATCATGTCTAAACCATTATATTGTCAGAAAGCTATCAATATATCCTCCACTTGCTATTACCAGTACTCTTCTATTTCCTCGTTGGAAAGGATTTCCCCAGCTACATCGAGTGCCAGGAGGAGGTTGACAAAGCGTATCGAGACCAACAGGTGATATTTTGTTTAAGCTACAGATATATATACAAACACAGAGTAAGAGCAGCCTTCCAAAACCAAAGCACATTCCCTTAACACTCTTGAATTTGTCCATGGTTGATGGTTTGACAAAGATGGACGAGAATGTCGATCATGAACACAACTGGCTCTTACAAGTTCAGCAGCGACAGGACAATCCACGAGTACGCCAGAGACATTTGGAACATTCAACCCGTTCGTGAAGAGTAGCCAGCTAACTAAATGCTCTCGCCGCACTACCGTCACAATCGCCAAATTACTCCTCAGTCGGTCGAGCTCTGCATTCCATCAATTGTTGCCCTGTAAGTCCCCTTCCCTTGCTTTGCAGCTGGACTTCTCAGTCGCCACTCAATCAAATTCCCACAAGGACGACGGACGCCATGAAGCCTGCAATGGAAAACGTCAAGATGGAAACGAAACCGAACTTCCGATTCATGACAAGATATTCAACTCCCCTGCCAAGATGGGTTCCTACCAGTCAGGCGACTCCTCTTTCTATTCGCTCATCGAGACCTACGCCAATAATTGGGAATATCATTCCTCCTCGGCAACCCGTCCATCTCCTTCCGTAGCTCATTCAGAATCATGTCCACTGCCAGTGTCCCCTTGACTTCCGCCTCTCTAAACCGTGATCGAGTTCGATTCGTCAAAGAAGAGCAATCATGGTGTCGCCTGTTGAGCAGAAGCCAAAAATATCCCTCCTGATTTCCACCAATTTTCGTTTCCTTCGATCCAGTCTCTATTCGCGTCATTGGCACAATCTTCGTCGGACCTGAGGGGAGACAAAATCTAATTAAAGAAAGGAAGATTTGATGATGATTGCTTGAAATTGACTGGTCGTAGAAAGCAGCGCGGAGCACCAACAGGCCGCAGAACGCGACGAAGTTGAAGCGGCGGCATCGCAATCCAATGATCCAGATCTCCTCGAGAAATTACGGGAGCAGTGAAATCCTGCGCACCAGATCCGTAGAATCGTTCATGAGCGGCGGCGGCGGAGGCACTCCCGCTTCCTCCAACGAGATTGATGTCTCCGCCTCCGTCGCGGGCATTTTGGGGGAGAGAGGTGCTGAGACGGGATCTGAATGGGAGAGAAGATGAAATAGTTGATTTTTATTATGTTTATTGTCATTTACGATTATACCCTTTATGTTATGATAACAACACTTAGGGTGTTGTTATGCTATCTGGCCCCGTTTGTGGACCTGACTTTTCCTTCTTTGGATTCTCTTGCATCTGTCTCTCCTCAGGTACATTCGCTTGATCTCGAGGCACCTCTTCTTTCTTTCTGGTTTCTTTTATTTCCGGTGTCATGTCATTATCCGAGTTGGATCCAATACTTTCCATCTCAATTTTTTTGGCGTAAGGCAGCCCATACCTATGTATCTTGCTTCTTAGCCGTATAAGAAAGCTAGGTCTTTGGTCCTAGTGGTGCTACCCTAAGTGCATAACCAAAAGGATGCACCTCTGGCTTAGACTCCATATTACATTTGAGATTAGCGTGACCTATTCTGCAACAAAAATAACAAAACATAGGTATTTTTTATACTTCACTGGGTATCCCCCAACTTCCCTTAAATATTCAACTTTAGCTTCTTTTTTAAAGGGTTCTTGATGGACAGATAAACTATGAGGCTCATATAGTCCTACCACATGATCCTAGATCAATTATCAAACCAATCCAGACACTCAAATCTAGTTGCAAATTTCTCTGCCATCTTCTAAGTCCGAAGTTCCGCAGGAAACCTTCAATTCTTATCCATAACTCAATCATGTGTAGATCTTCAGGTTTTGGCTTCTGAATCAAAGTACTAGCCTTGAAAACTATGAGGCTATTCTCGTAGTGTCAAGGACCTTCATAGTAGACTTTATTTCTATCAACCATGTCTAGGAACTGGAAAGCAAAAAGCTTATCACCCAGCTCCGTAATATGAAAACCATTTCGTAACTTTCAAGCTTATCACCCAGCTCCAAGGTTTTGGTTCTTTTTCAGACACCAGGCGACCAATCAACCCTAACCGACGAAGAGCTTCCATTTGTATAACATCAACATCAGAGTCCTCTGCCTCTAGGGGTTCTTCATCATCCTCAACCAGGGTAATCTGGTATATCTGTTTCTCTAGCTCCAAGGTGTGAACATGATCGTCCTTCGGTCCCTTACTCGTTGTTGTATCGTCAACATCCCCTTCCTTACTCGCCATGATCTTGTTCAGTGTGATAATCGCGAAAACTCAACAGGTGTAGCTGAGAGTCAAGCCGTAGTTTCAGTAACACCAAGAATAACATCACTATAACCAAAACTTTGTAGCTCCATGCTCCTAAATAGGCGTCCAAAACAGCTCGGAGTATTCCAAATCCTTGTAAAACAAGTACTTCTTAACAAATAACATCATTCGAAAGCGAACGACTAACTTAATCATAAATAAGTGTTTGCTATACGGAGAGTAATATTCTTATAGTTACCAATGTATAATAATTTTTACCCAGTTTTTTAAAATATAAATTTATATTATGGACTACTACAAATGTATTTTTTCTTAATGGTAATCGGTATCGGCTGTATCGGTTTACCGTTTTACCGAACCGTTTACCGGCGGTATCGGCTGCCGAGCGGTGACGTGGGATACTCAGTTTATCGGATACGGTATCGGTAAATACCGACGGTAAATCGGTATTACCAATACCGAAATCCCCCTCCCCATTTCTGCCACTGCGCTGCGTTTTGCTGCCTGGCCTCCCAAACCCTAAAAACTAAAAATCCCTACCCAGGCCAGCGAACCGCCCCCGACCTCGTTTTTTCGAGACCCGCCGCGCAGCCACCCAGGTTCTCCAGCTCTCCTCTTCTCGTCTTCCTCTCCTTCTGCTGGCGGCGAAGACCGTCGAGCGACGGTGACGACGAGCACGCTTCCCCCGACTCTCGTCTCTCCCAGGTCCCAGCTGTCGCCGACGCGCGACGCGACCCAGTCGCTAGCCCTTTCCAGTCCTCCTCCGCGGCTCCGCCACATTCCGGCTTCACCGCCGCCACCAGGCCGCCTCGCCATCTCCTCGCCGTCCTCACCTCCTTCCGTCTGTCGTCCTTGGAGCCTGGTCGCCATCTCCTCGCCGTTCTCACGGTATTTCGGTAATACCGGCTTGTAACCGTTTACCGGTAATTCGGTAAACCGGTTACAAACCGGTATCGGTAAACGGTAACCAATTTGGCCAACATCGGTATACCGAAACCGATAAATTCGATAAATAATTTACCGTTTACCGACCGAATCCCACCCCTATCCGTATGTAGTTCGTTTGTTTAACATTATAAGTGATACATGAAGATAACAGTGTTTTTCAACTACTGTAGTAATTTCAAAAAATATTAAAATAGTGCTTTTGGTGATTGATATCAAGTGCCTCTGTCTCTGTGGTATTTTCTATAAAATGCTAATCATCACAATTAAATATATTTTACCGTTTATGGTGGGTGTCTTCCTGCTTTTTTCGCCTCTCTTAAAAAAATATACAATTTCTATCATGGTTGTCATGCCGGTGGCATGCCACCAGGTTGAACCTGGTTCAACCTGTGCCGTTCATGAAACAGGCATGACACCCCGGTATGATCGGTATGATCGACTTACGTATTCTAAGCAAATTAACATCATTTTAATGAATTTAATTAATATAAAAATTAATTTATCATTCATTTTATGAATTTAATAGTTAAAAGTTGATGATATTTGTTGGATTCTAACTTAATTGTCCAAAAATATGTTTTATATATGATTAAATATATTGGATATTAATTATTTTTATACTTTTTTAAACCGGCATGAACGCTGCACAAACTGGTTATACCACCGGTCGTACCATTCCACTTGCCAAACCGGCACAACGGTATAAACCGGTTTGACAACCTTGATTTCTATTAATTTGGGGAAGAGAGAAGTGAGGGAAAGGAGAGAGAGGTGAAGTTGGGTAAAGGAGAATAAAATATGATGATTTTAATATAAATTTTTTAAATGAACTTAATTTTTAGAAATAAAGCTATAATTAATCAAAATCGTTCATTGGATTCAAAGGATGATTAAGGGGGTTAGCATAACCCCTTGGCATCCGATCCTTTTTGGGAATAGCTCAACATTAAGTATTTTACTCCCTACACCAATCTTGCATTGGATGCACACTACCAGATTCGATGCTCCAATAACTAGTGCAAGCTGGGGTGGCTATACGGTCCAGTTCGGTTAAATTGGCCCGAATTGATTCAGTTACCAGTCCGGTTTTTTTGAGAATATAAGGACCAAAGATTGGATTGGATACAGTTCGGTCTTGAACCGGTCCGGTCCCAATTTAGTCTTGATTTTAGATTGAACTTGTGGGGATTTGAGTGGCCTGAGGGGGGATTAGAGTGGCTTGAGGGGCTGAAAGGATGTGGAGGTTAAATTTTTGGGTATTGAACTCTCTTATCCGGGCTTTATCCGATTTTCAGTCCGGTACCAAACGCAAACTGGATTGGGTGAATGGGAATACGGTTTTCGGTTACAACCGGGAAGGTTTAAACTGGCCGGTTTCCGGTTTGACCGGAAAACCGGGACCGGATTCCCAGCCCTATATACAACAATTCTCACTATGATACATTCCTACCACCATGGTGCACTTTTATACCAATCTTATTTACTACCAAATATAACCACCATGGTAAAGACTATTAATATGTCTCAAATTATTTTTTTTCCAAAATATATCAAAAAGGATGTCATTTTGCGGAGCACAATTGATATTATTTTCTAGTAAAAATTTAATTACGATTTAAAATAAAAGATATAATTTTTTATTAAATTGAGGAAAAGTTATATCTCTTCAATAAACCGTTAATGAGATGGTTATTGATGGTAGTTACCATTGGTAAATGTCAACTTTGGTCACTGGGTTTACTAAAATATGTCATGTTTAGTCACTGAAAAAAATTAATATCAATGTTAGTCACTCGAATTAGTAAAACGGTCCACGTTTAGTCACTCTCCGTTAGTCTCCTTTAACACCGTTAGTCAAATGCTTAGGTGGCTTATAGAAGTGCTGACTCACCCTTACTTAACATGCCACATCACCAAATCCGACCCACCACGTCACTCAACCCGCCATGTCATCTTTTCCAACCCAATTCTTAAACTCAATCAACTTATAAACCGAACCATCTATCCCTCTCTCTCTCTCTTCTTCGCCTGATCCTCTCTCCTCTTCAACCTTGCATCAAAATCAGACACAACGACGGCTCGCCAGATCTCCTCCTCTTCTCCATTCCCCTAGCGAAGAATGCGCCCACCGGAAAACCCTAAGAAAAAGAATCACCCTAAATTCTCCTCAAAACCATCACTTTTTCAACTCGGTTTTTCTTCTGTGCGAATTCTAAATTTCGGCTATGTTTCTCTTTCCGCATCTGAACTATGAATTGTGTTTAGATCTAACAAATCTGTGAACCTTTCATTTGTGTGTGTAATTATGTTCAGGTCATCAACCATCGGGAGACAGGCAGGTCCCGTGGATTCAGATTCATGACCTTCAGGGACCAGCAGGCGATGAAGGACGCGATCGAAGGGATGAACGGCCAGAATCTCGACGGCCGTAACATCACCATCAACGAGGCTCAGTCCCGCTCTGGTGGCGGTGGTGGAACACGCGAAGGCGGTGGCGGCGGCGGCGGTGGATACAGCCGTGGTAACGGTGGCTACGACGGCGGTGGATACGGTGGTGGTCGGGAGCGTGGTTATGGGGCTGGTGGTTACGGAAGCGGCAGTGATGGCGGTTCCCGCTACTCTTCGAGGGGCGGTGGTGCCTCGGACGGAAACTGGAGGAGCTAGATGGCGGGATTTATAGATTAGGGGAAATGTAGAAGGTGTCATGTTTTTTGGATTACTGTGTTAGTTTCTTACTTGCTTGTCCAGGTTATGGTTCTTGTTCAATCTGCGTTCGTCATATTGGGTTTTTGTTCGTTGTCTCTGATGTTGATGCAAGGTTGAATAGGAGAGAGGAACAGGCAAAGAGGACAGAGAGGGATAGATGGTTGGGTTCATAGGTTGGTTGGATTTAAGGATTGGGTTGGAAAAGATGACATGGCGGGTGGGGTTTGGTGATGTGGCGAGTTAAAAAAGGGTGAGTCAGCACTTCTATTAGCCATCTAAGCATTTGACTAACGGTGTCAAAGGAGACTAACGGAGAGTGACTAAACGTGGATCCTTTTACTAATTCGAGTGACTAACATTGATATTAATTTTTTTCAGTGACTAAACATGACATATTTTAATAAACCCAATGACCAAACGTGGCATTTACCCTTCTCTAAATTGATGCATTTAATCAATTTATGTATTCTAATTAGATGCATTGTTTCAATGTACGAATTTGACAAATATATTGTTTGGAGGTTGAATGATTGTGGTGGTTCCTCAAAAAATGAAGAAGAAAAAATGAGAGATTGAAGATTTCAACTTTTAGATGAGATTGACAATCATCCATAATGAATGATTATAGTGGTCTCGTCCCCTGCTCAGATACAAGAGTATTCTGTTTTATTTTAAAACAAAAAAATAAAAAATTCTCCAAATAGCATGTATTGCATGAATAAATCATCTCAAATCTCAACTTCCAAAATGATCACTTGGATTGCTCGATCCACTCGAATTGCTTTACCCGTGTCAGCATTCAGATTCAGGTTGGCCTAACAAATCCACTTCTGTCACAGTTATAGATTGAATGATTTACCTACTACGTGGAATTTGAGGGATTGCACTGTATTTGTATCTAATGCGGCATGTACGGTCACATGAAAACTACATGGCCAATGCTCTTCAAGGAGCCGACAAACCAAACACTGGTAAATACCCATGACGAGCAAAGCCACCCTGTGTTATGGGACAATCCAAGTACCACATCGGTAATACAAGGGAAGAAACCCTTGTATATTAGTGTCCACCAAGCTCATTAGTACGAGGCTTTTTGGGGAGGACACCCAAGAGTAAAACCGTGCGGGCTTGGCCCAAAGCGGACAATATCGTACTAATTGAGCAGCCCGGTTTCGACAAGTGGTATCAGAGCCGCGGCTGGAAATCAGGCTAGGGTTTTTGATTCAGAAGAATGACGTCGGTGAACATGAAGATCGAAAAGTTCACGGGAAAGAACAGCTTCGCTATATGGCAGATCAAGATGCAGGCTTTATTAAAACAGCAAGGGCTGTGGGGGCCGCTGTCTGCGAAACAGAAGAAGGCAGCGGTCGATGATGATGAGTAGAATACCCTGGAGGAGAAGGCCCACTCGACCATCATGCTATCATTGTCTGATGACGTCATCATTGAAGTCGCTGCTGAGAAGACTGCCGCGGGCTTGTGGTTGAAACTAGAGAGTCTGTATATGACGAAGTCTCTAACCAACAAGCTGCATCTCAAGCAACGGTTGTTCAGCTTGAGGATGCAAGAAGGTACGCCTTTTAGGGAACATCTCGAACAGCTTAACTCTATTTTGCTGGATCTGCGTAATATAGATGTTCAAGTTGATGACGAGGATGCTGCCCTAATCCCGATGGTTTCTTTGCCGAGTTCATATGAGAATTTCGTTGATTCTTTTATTGCTGGTAAAGAAAGCGTGTCGTTGGAGGATGTCAGGTCTCCTCTTCATACGAGAGAGATCAGACATAAGGCGTCCGGATCTGGTACAGTTGGTGAGGCATCGGGTTTGGCTGTTACAGGTGGAAAGGGAAAGAAGAAACAAGGTTCAGTTGTCGTGGCAGAAGTGGACACCAGTTCTGAAGACGATCTCGCCTTGGCTGTAGATGAGAAGGCACATCGTGGTGATGTGTGGTTTCTGGATACTGCAGCCTCATATCATATGTCTCCGAACAGGGATTGCTTCACAACCTACGAGCATATAGATGGTGGTAACGGAGCTGTCTGCAAGGTTGTTGGAATCGGGTCCATAAAGGTTCGGACACATGATGGTTCATTCTGTACCGTGAATGATGTCAGGCATGTTCCACGAATGACAAAGAACCTGATCTCCTTGAGTTTACTCGACAGCAAGGGTTTCAGCTTCAAAGGAAAAGGTGGAGTTGTGTATGTCTGCAAGGATTCGAGGAAGGTGCTGAAGGGCGTGAAGCGTGGGACCTTGTATGCATTACAAGGGTCTGTGTTGTCTAGTTCTGCTGCAGTTGCATCGTCTCAGGTTCAACAGGAAGATATGACCACTCTCTGGCACATGAGACTGGGGCATATGAGTGAACGGGGGATGCAAGTTCTATCGAAGAGGGATCTTCTTTACGGGCACAAGGTGCAGAATTTGGAATTCTGTGAGCATTGTGTGTTTGGGAAGCTACATCGCAGCAAGTTTCCCAAGAAGGGTATCCACCGGACGAAGGGGATACTAGATTACCTCCACTCTGACTGTCGGGGTCCTTCACGAGTTGAATCCATTGGAGGCAGCAGGTATTTTCTGTCTATTATTGATGATTATTCGAGATTTACTTGGATTTTCATGATGAAGCAGAAAAGTGAGGCTTTCACGAAGTTCAAGCAGTGGAAGACATTGGTGGAGAATCAGACCGAGAAGAAGATCAAGAAGTTGCGAACGGACAATGGTCTGGAGTTCTGCAGTTTTGAATTCAACGAATTCTGCAAGGATGAAGGGATTGCCCGTCATCGGCCTGTTAGAGATACACCCCAGCAGAATGGCGTTGCAGAAAGGATGAACCAGACATTGTTGGAGAGAGCACGGTGCATGCTCTCTAATGCTGGACTAGAGAGAAGATTCTGGGCAGAAGCAGTAAACATGGCGTGCTTCCTGATCAACCGTGGACCTCACACAGGTATCGAGTGTAAGACTCCTTATGAGGTGTGGTATGGTAAGCCTGCTGATTACTCTTCACTGAAAGTTTTTGGGTGTCCTGTTTATTATCATGTGGATGAGGGTAAACTGAACCCAAGGGCAAAGAAGGGTGTATTTGTGGGTTACGGAGATGGAGTTAAGGGATTTCGAGTCTGGTCACCTTCTGAGCATCGAGTTATACTTAGTAGAAATGTGATATTTGATGAGAAGTCTATGTTTAACCCCATGTTGAAGGTTACTGTTGTTGAAGGTAGCAGGAATGTTGATAAACAGGTGGAGCTGCAAACTCTCAAAGAGAGTGAGTTTGAGCACCAATGTGGAGAAGATCAACATGATGAGGATGTCTCTGCAGAACCAGAAACTTCAGAGTCCAGTGCACGAGCTCGACAGTCTATTGCTTCCGGTAGACCGAAGAGAGCGACTGTAGGAGTACCTCCACAGAGGTATGGCTTCGAGTACATGGTGGCGTATTCATTTCAGGTTGCTGAGGAAGTGGATGCAGGAGAACCACAGTCCTATAGAGAAGCAGTTTCGGGTGGTGAAGCTGATCAGTGGCTTGCTGCAATGGGAGATGAGATGGAATCCCATGACAGGAATCAGACTTGGGAGCTAGTCAAACGACCACAGGGAAGGAAGATTGTTACAAACAAGTGGATCTACAAGAAGAAGGAAGGAATCACTTCTAAAGAGGGCATGAAATTTAAAGCTCGGGTGGTTGCACGAGGCTTCTCGCAGAGGGAAGGAGTTGACTACAATGAGATTTTCTCACCAGTGGTCAGACATACTTCGATCAGAGTGCTACTAGCAATAGTGGCACATTATGACTTGGAGCTCGAGCAGCTAGATGTGAAGACAGCTTTCCTACATGGAGAGTTGGAAGAAGAAATTTACATGACTTAGCCAGAAGGATTCGAGGTTCCGGGAAAAGAAGACTATGTTTGTAAGCTGAAGAAGTCCTTGTATGGACTTAAGCAGTCTCCGAGGCAGTGGTACAAGAGATTTGACAGTTACATGCTTGAGCTGGGCTACAACAGAAGTCCATATGATTGTTGTGTATATCACAGCAAGGCAGAGGATGGTTCGATGATATATCTAGTTCTGTATGTGGATGATATGCTCATAGCTGCGAGGTCAAAGTCTGATATCCAGAAGTTAAAGGGGCTTCTCAGTGCTGAGTTTGAGATGAAGGATTTGGGAGCTGCTCAGAAGATCTTGGGTATGGAGATTTACAGGGACAGGTCGAAGAAGAAGCTTTTCTTGTCACAGAAGAGCTACATCCAGAAGATATTGTCGAGGTTTGGCATGTCTTCAGCAAAGCCCTTAAATACTCCTAGTGCTTCAAATATTCATCTATCCTTAGCTTATGCACTGCAATCAGAGCCTGAGAAGGAGTACATGTCGAGAGTCCCATATGCTAGTGCAGTAGGTAGCTTGATGTACGCTATGGTATGCACTAGACCTGATCTTGCACATTCTGTTAGTGTTGTCAGCAGGTTTATGATACAACCTGGGAAGGAGCATTGGCAGGCTGTGAAGAGGATCTTCCGGTACCTTAAGGGTACACCTGATGTGGGGATTAGCTTCGGAAGTGATACAGAGTGCTTGGTGTCTGGGTATTCTGACTCGTACTATGCTGGAGATGTTGACACGAGGAGATCGATGACCGGTTATGTATTCACTCTTGGGAGTTCTGTAGTGAGCTGGAAGGCAACTCTGCAGTCGGCGGTGACATTGTCTACTACTGAGGCAGAGTATATGGCGTTGACAGAAGCTGCTAAGGAGGGAATATGGTTGAAGGGACTGGTTGGTGATCTGGGTCTACATCATGATCAGGCAGTGGTGTATTGCGACAGTTTGAGTGCAATATGCTTGGCCAAGGATCAAGTCCACCATGAGAGGACTAAGCACATCGACGTGAGGTATCATTTCTTGAGGACAGAGAAGAGGATTAAGGTGAAGAAGGTTGGCACCGCGGATAATCCTGCTGATATGTTCACGAAGCCGGTTCCACATGGCAAGTTCCAACACTGCTTGGACTTGCTGAATGTCTTGAGTGGGTGACTCCGCCCTACGGGGCATTGATGGCGGGAGAGAGAGAAGGAGCAGAGTACATCAGAGATTTCAGAGGAAGAGGATTCAAGTCAAGGTGGAGATTTGTTGATATGACTTGAATCGGACTATCAGCCGCTACGACTGGTAATTGGGGGTCTCGCTGTTATTTGGGTTCGGGTTCTGGGCCTGGTCTGTAACCGTTTCCTTTGGCAGATTGGATTAGGTTTAGACCCACATGGAGAAGTACTATAAATACTTCTCATACTCCTCTGTAATCTGTAATCTCCTTGATATAGTGAAATCGGCTCTCTCTCGCCCGTGGACGTAGCTAACACACATCGTGTTAGTGAACCACGTAAATCGTGTGTCGTGTTTTCGATTCTCGCTTTCGTATTCTTGCTTTGTCGATTCCAGCGATTTCCCGATCCGTAGCAG